TGATTTTACATCAATCACTATAATCGATGCAAAAATAACGTAACAAAGGTCTTTTGAAAGAAGAATTTGATCACTATAGGCGATATATTACTATACGCGATACCTGTGTATACTCAGTTATGGCAAATGAAATTTGAAAAATTGATCACTATATCCGGTATATTATTATAGCCGCCAACCTTATAGGCGATACGTACTGTATTGTACTCCCTAGGCCATGGACTGGTTGTAACCGCGAAAACGGTTCCAAGGATATCCAGCAAGGGATGTACAGCCAGTTTTCGCGGAGGCTCGTAGATCTACCGTTTTCGCGGATACGTCGGCGTAGTCGTTCGGCGAACTGTTCGTGGTGCAAAGGTCCTTGCCTGCGGCGCGGGGGGGGGGGGGGGTGGCCCGCCCCGTACCTGGTACTGCTGGTGGTGGGCTGCTCCGCCCGGACCGCGTACCGGATTCCAAGCACGCATGCACGTGCCCGCCAGCTGGATTGTACTTCGGCGCCGACTTTCACTTTCCACCTCCCTTCTTTTTCCTTTCCTTCTGAGCCGACAACATGGCCTCCAACTCTGAGCTTGCTTGCGTTTACGCATCCCTGATCCTCCACGACGATGGAGTAGAAGTAACTGGAGAGAAAATCTCTTCTCTCATCTCAGCCGCCAAAGTAGACATCGAGCCTTTCTGGGCTGGTCTGTTCGCCAAGGCTTTGGAGGGCCGCAACATCGGAGACCTCGTCTCCAACATCGGCTCTGCCTCCGCAGCACCCGCAGCCGCAGCATCTACCGCAGCTGCCCCAGCAGCCGCCGAGGAGAAGAAGGCGGAGAAGGCGCCAGAGTCTGACCCGGAGTCTGATGACGACATGGGATTCGGCCTGTTCGACTAATTTCTATTCTTGCTGAAAGTCCTGATGATTGCTGGAAATAAATCAACTCTTTCAACCAACTCCGTGTTGTCCTCGGACTGGATGATGGTGCTAGGAATCATGACGGTACTGTGCACTAGTATCAGTATGTGGAGTCGTGTTGCATGACGAATGGCGAGTGCATGAGTGTGTGCATGCGTTTGTAGTACTTTAGATTTTATGTGCCACTTTCGCTGATTTTACCAAAATCAGTAACAGTGAAACTACAGTATCATACGTCAAAGTGACCTAAAAACCTGTTCGAGGTGAAACGACTGGTCAGTATATGTCAGGGTCCTAGAAAATGTACTTTGTATCCGATGCAAAGAGTATTGTGTTACCAGGTAGTAACAGGCCTCTTTTACGGGCAAAATAAACACAATAAAAAGCCTTGCTTACGGTATTTTTTTGCGAGAAAAAGACAGTGATAAAGGACCATCAATGAAAAGGTATAATTATTACAATAGAATTAGAACTGAAAAAACGGAAGGGAAAATGTAATAGATGGGAGAGCCACAGAAAGAGGAAACCCAGAAAACAGAAAGAGAACATGACTCAGTGACCGATTCCAACGCCGGCACTGTCATGTACGGAGAGTCCCATGAGACGTGTTACCAGGTGTTGCCTCATATCTAGAGTACTTTATATTGGCGGTTTACTGTATGATCATTTTGACTTGCAGTAGATCTACATGTACAGTCATGTAATTTAGCTAGTATAGTATAGTGTTGCTCAATGAAACCCAATCAACTCAAGTGAGTCCAGCTCTCCCGGGGAAAATCGCAGAAGAAAAGCTCAAAATTGAACTCGGATGGTGAGCCAATGATCATGGTAAAAAAAAAGGAGAAGGACAAAATGTTGTATGAGTTATGACTAACTGTCCAGTGTCAGGTCACTGAGTGTCTCAGTGCTGCTTGTCAGTTTTGTGCTATTTTGTCGCACTTGCTGACTGTGTGTGATCTAGTTGCGTTGGTCGACAGTCATAACATTTCGTCCTCCTTTTTTTTTACCAAAAGCTCAAAATTGCGGGGAATTTGTGGCCGTTTTTGGTTAACTTGCAAGTGAATGGCCAATCTACTGGCTTGCCTGCGCAGTCTCTTGTAGAAGCCCAGTATTTAAGGCTTATAATGGAGAACTGCATGGATCATGGTGAAAAAGGAGAAGCAAAATGTTACGAGTTATGACTATGTATGGATCATGTCCATGCATGTTTGCCGTCACACAGTATCACATAAACACATGCTGTGGTAAAAGCCTGGAATCCCCGAGATCTGAAGTTCAGACTCGGTGTACCAGGAAGCACAAAACTGCAGTCCCAGTCAGTACCTGCTGGGAAACTTTGTGCTACTTATATAATGAAAAAATAATAGGCAGTGTACATGTACCATGTGGTTGAGAAATTATAAGCCCAGGGTCCGGACTGGTTGAAAACATATAAGCGCTGGGCTTAGGCCGCAACCACACTACGTAAAAATCACAGTACAAATTTTCATGCATATCTCAGTACAAGTCGGTACGCAACCACACTACACTTTTCGGTCTGCATAGATGACGTTTTCACTAGGGGTCAAACGGGTGTACCTTTAACTAACGAACGGGTAATTTTCTTAACGGTCGGGTTAACGGGTACCCTTTAGCAGCCATGTTTTAATTTTTGCGCAATTTTCATATAAACCATGATAGTAATTTATCTGTTCTCAGGTTGCATTTTGATATCACATTGTGATTCGCCAATTGATTTGAGTCTGATAGTTGCAGAGGTAGATCTACTAGGTGCGAAAATGCAACAACAATGCAGGCATGCAGCTTGGAGTTGTAAATAATTGACTCCCGCCTGGAATGCACAATCCCAGCAGTGTTGCTCCGTACTGACCTGATCACCGAAATCCAAACGGGTACCCTTTTACTAACGGTACCTGAGATTAACGGGCGGGTACCCGGAACACCCCTTTGACCCCTAGTTTTCACGCGACCAGCACGTGACGTTGTCGTACCAAAGCGTGTGCCATGCGCTGGAAAAGACCGGGAAATTCAAAAACAACGCTGATGCTATGTACGACAACCGGGTACAAAAACAAAGTTGTACACAGGAGATGGAGCGCGAAAACGACAAACGTGGCTTTCTACAGGGGTGCGCCGGTTGCTGAAAACCTACAAAGCGCATTTTGCACGCGTCGGCATGACGATTTCTACTGTAATGCCGTTTGTACGTGATTTTTGTACCTAGTGTGGTTGCAGCCTTATAATGGAGATAGTACGGTATATAGGATTTGGGTTTGGGCTAAAGGATTTCGCTAAACAACCTATGCAAATTGATGAAGTGGGTTTCATGAGGTGTTTGGAACTGTTTTCCATACACTTCCGTAGGAATAATCCAAATTTCAAGCCAATCGGCCAATTTAAAGCCCTGTAGGTATATTCAATTATAAGGCCATGGGCTTCACAAATGAAACGACATTTGAAGTATGTTTTACAGTGTTGCCAACCGCCCGTATTTTTACGGAAAAAGAAAACTCCAAACTATCCAATGCAACAATCGCCGAAGAGTTACAATGTCGGACTCCAGAGATATTGCGCGCCGTGTTCTTACCTCGGGAAATTCAAATATTTGATCGATCTCTTCGCCATTTCGAGGGAAATTTTTTGTGTGCTCTTTGAGTGACTGATCAGCTGAGAACATCATAATGATGTAGTCGGCTGAAGTTTGAATCGCCTCGAAAACATTTGAGAGTTCTGCGATGAAGGAGAGTGGAATGGTGTTGATGGGACGAATTTGCTTGCATACTAGAATTAGGCTTGGGGACGACTTTGCCGTGTTACCGCGCCTGATTTGTGCCGGCTTCATAATGGACCCTGGTATCCTGGCGTTGCTCCTGCCAAGAGCTTTCCAACAAGCCCTAGATTTTGAAAATCAAGCGAAGTAGGGACGACCTGGTCACGGCGGAAGTTGAAAATTGTACTAACATTTGTAATTCTGGTGCATGCTGTATGAACTCTGTGGCTGGAAAGTTGTACAGTATCGGGAATCAGTCAAAATGTTGACATGGAAAACGAGTACGCAAAACTCTGCAAAATGGCACTGGGCAGTACGCATGGGGTTAGAGGGCACTTGGTAACACTGGTTTTAAGAACTCAGATGGTGAGCCAAGGAAAAATTGTAACGTTGAACCGGCCAGCATTCCATGAAGCCTTCGGATGTAGCTTGTGCTGGGCTCGATGGCGCTCGCCTTCCCCTCTTTGGAGTTAGCACTAATATTCATGAACCTTCCAAGTTGGAATGCTGTTGGTTAGCGCTATCGAGCAGTGTTCAAGCTGACTTTCATGCTGTGGGATGTCTCAGCACTCCTTGTCAGTTTTGTGCTAGATTGTGCATGTCTGACTGTTCAAAATCTGGTTTAGTTGGTGGACTCGATCGCATAACTTGTGCCCACAATTTCCTTGTTTAATACGAAGTATGTTTTGTAAAAAAAATTAAGGAATAAGTATCGTACTAACAATCTTAAGGCCCAGCAGGAAGGGTGAACACGTGGATTTAGATTGATATTTCTGTGCGGACTTTGACTTTTATGGTATGGCGTAGTGGGCGAGTCATTTTGCATCTAAAAACAGCCCGTGTACGTTTCATCACAATTTTTCCGCCAATATGCTGTATACATTGACATTGTTGTGCTTCGTCGCATTATCACCATGTACTGATTTTGAAGAGTAATGGTACGAAAGTCGAAAGGCCTCATCATATTTTCAACTACTAGTATAGTCAGTTTCAAAAAGATTAGCAATCCTGGCGATCGCCCGGGGAGTTTGCCGTCTTACCGTATGAGCGCTCGAGCGCTGCCTGGAAAAACTCACTGTGAACTCGAAGAAATATTCCGCGCGAAAGCATGAGAAATGACAACTCACTGACGTCGGTACTCGTATATGTTCGTCAGGTTTACAACAAACGAGTTCTTCCTCGCATCGATATGGAGTCAGAGAGGACACGTCGAAAGTGTGGTAAATTTTGACGAGCGGGATGCGTCCGTTTTGTGACCAAATAAATTCTTTGAGCTGCCGCAGATGCAATTTACTCTCACAATGTGACGAAAACGGCATCAGCACAGACTCATTCCCAAGGCCTTGAAGTGGCAAAGTTATCCATGTGACTTAGACGACATTTTGAGAAAGCAGACGCCTGTGAAAGCTGATGGAAGACGGCGTTGACTCCTAAATTCAAATAATTAATTGGCGATCTTCAAATACTAAAATAATTCTCAAACAGAAATCGATCGAACGATGTGCCGGTTTATTCAGCAACACGTAGCTACAGCGCAATGACTTCCGTGTTCACTCACACGGTTTCAGTGGTGTGTGTGTGTTCACAACTTCAAATGGCGTGAGCCAGTCAAGTGTCAGTCAGTTCGGCAGGAAACGCGAGCTCCAACAAGTCGTTTGGCGCAGCCACCTTCTTTGTCTTGTACCAACGTGATCACCAAAACAATGAAAAAATGAAGAAAAATGTTTGACTTGGAGATTTGCTGGGATTTGAACTCACAACTTCATGGTCAGCAGACAGCATTCATAACCTGTAGCTTCGTCTCTTCGTGAGCTAATATGTCTCCCTCCGACTAATTCTCTATAATAAATATTATTTATTTAGAAACGAAAACTAGTCGTTCAGGGGGGAGGGGGTTGAGCGCCTGTTCGTTTCTCGAAGAATATCGATGTACATTTTGCATGCATGAGCATGTCCAGAAAAAAGACCAACAATATCGATATACTATGTAGCATTTGTATGTGTTCGTTTCTCAGGAGGGGGAGGGGGGTTGAAGATAAATAAATATCGGTATTTACGGAAGGCCCCTAAGCCTAAAGCTGGATTCACAGAGGCTTTTTTGCGATGCGACACGCGATGTGAACTCGTGAAATACCATTCACAGAAGAAGGCAGCGATGCACAACTTTGCTGTAGAAAAGGTCAAAATCGTAAGCCAAATCGCTTGTCGCTTCGCAAAAGTTGAGCCAAGCTCAACTTCTGCGATGGCCCAGTTGCGTGGGGTGCAAGAGGGCTGCGTTTTGGGGATTTCCCGGTTTCGCGGCAGTCGCATCACAAAAAAAGCTTCTATGAATCCCGCTGAAGAGGCGCGCGCGGTCACACTGAGGCAAAATTTGAAAAAAAAATCCGTGGTTACCATGGATAGTTGCCGCTGAGCGGGAGATTTGAGAGACTTTGAATTTAATCCACTCGATGAAAATCAGCTCGAGGCCCCGCTTTTCCGGTGAAGATTATGATCATCCGCGGCTTCTACCGGATTTTTTTGAGTTTCCTTGTTTTTTATTGCGTTCTGATGTGGAGCGATACTCGAGCCTGTGCTGATGCAGCTCTGGCCCAGGAGCGGAGTTGACAGACTCTGTCAACTTGTTGAAAGAGATGATTTATTCCCAGAAAGGCTGCCAGAAGCGAATGGTGACAAAAAAAGTAGCTCGTGTGGGTGAGATTATTTTCATTGTGCGTATCCAGTGTGGCCGTGATGAAAAGCGGAAAAAATTCCCTGTTTATTCTGAGGATTGTTCCCTCAATGTGACCGGCCCCTTATCAGTTTGTTTTGACTAGTACATGTATGTTTTGTTTGTTATGATTTCTTGGTTTTTCATCCGGCCAAGTTATTATTTCATTCACTGGTTTAGGTTTATCAAGTTGACCTTCATGTAGTAGATCTACATGACTTTGTACTGAATTATTATTTGAGCAAATGGTATTTTACTTTTTAGTACCTGAGCCTGAAAGACTAGACAGTGAAACGACCCTGAGCTGAATGTCCCTGCAAATAAGCAACGCTACAAGTACATGTAATGACTTTATTTTTTATTATGTACAACGAAGTCACTCGCTCGCTGTGTAAACCGTTCGTCGCGCGGCGAAGCGCGCTCGATGTCACGCGTGCACAGGTCCGGCGGGGATTCCCGCGCCGTTGGCCGTCGCGGTTCCACGCACGCATGCATCCACGTGGCCCCACGCTTTGTAGTGTACGTGTGTGACCTGGCCTGGCACTTCGGCGCTGATGTTCTCAGTCGTTCTCCCTTGTTATTTCCTTTCCACCCGAACAGACAACATGGCCTCCAGCTCTGAGCTTGCTTGCGTCTACGCAGCCCTGATCCTCCACGACGATGGAGTAGAAGTAACTGCAGAGAAAATCTCCTCTCTGATCTCAGCCGCCAAGGTGGAAATCGAGCCTTTCTGGGCTGGTCTGTTCGCCAAGGCTTTGGAGGGCCGAAACATCGGTGATCTCGTTTCCAACATCGGCTCTGCCTCTGCAGCACCCGCTGCCGCACCAGCTGCCTCTGCTGCCCCAGCAGCCGCCGAAGAGAAAAAGGAGGAGAAGAAGCCGGAATCTGAGGATGAGTCAGATGAGGACATGGGATTCGGTCTGTTCGACTAACTTCTAGCTGAAAGTCCTGATAATTTCTGGGAATAAATCATCTCTTTCAACCAACTCAGTGTTGCTCTTGGCTTGGATGATGATGCTGGGGATCATGACGGTATTGTGCACTATCAGTGTGTAGAGTCGTGTTGCATGACGATCCGTGGATACGTGTGTATGCGTTTGCAGTGGATGGCCTGCATGATTGGAATTGTACGTAAAGTAGAAATTGAAATTATTTGAATTCAATTTACTGGTACGGTGTACTATTATTATAATATACCGTACCAATATATGTACTACCGTACTCGCGCGATTAGACCCTCTCTCGAATAGTGCCCTACCGGGTATACCAGTATCTCGAATAGTGTCTGAGACATTCTTTGTTGTCGTGGGGAGTAGTTCGTGCTCTTCTTCTGTGCGCATTTCTTTCCCTCTTGGACCTTTCCGAACCTGAGCCTTCCAAGTTGGAAGGTTGGTTTGCGCCTTGGAGAATTGTTATAGGTGTCAGGTCCCGGAATGTCTCAGTGTTCCTTGTCAGTTTTGTGCCATTTGGTCGCACTCACTGAATGTACAAAATCTGGTTACGGTGGTGGACAGTTAGAGTCGTAACTCGGAACATGTTGTCCTTCTCCTTTTTTACCACAGTCTCGAAGAGCCAGTGAAAAATATACCCAATCTTGAATAGTGCTTCCCCCCCCCCCCCCCCCCCCCCAGGCTTCTAACCAAGTACAGTGGTCCCTCTATAATCCGGCACCATTTGTGCCACGAAAATCTGCTGGATTAGGGAGGGTGCTGGATTAACAAATCTGATTTACTGCTGCAATGTGCATGAAGAGGACATTTTGGCTACTGAAAATTGTGCTGGTTTATCGAGGGTGCTGGATTATAAAGTGCCGGATTAGAGAGGGACGACTGTATTATTATGTGTGCAAGATTGGTGTTCTTTCTGTAATGTTCTTGTTCATGTCATCAGTACATGGTTATGTACTCTTGATGTCATTGAACCGGTAATTCAACGGTCAAAATCGCAGCTCTTGTTGCCCTTTCTATTGAGTCGTGATGTTTAACAGTAAATTAATTTAGGCTCTGCTTTTCTTTGGCTTGTTTTTGTGCGGGATGACATAGATGTACCAACATTGAAAAAAAATAGTGCACCATCTGTGATGGAAATTGAAAAAAATAGTGTCCAGGGGCACTAATCGCGCGAGTACGGTATATTACTATTAGTGAGGTTCTGTCACACTGTAAAACGTACCAAAGTATGTATGGAAACCTCGCCGCGGTACGGGATCAAGTTTCATACGGATTTTTTCATACCGATTTCCATGTGAAGTGCGCTTCACACAGACTGGTCTTCGTGTGAAAACTGAGCAGACAGAGTACATGTGGTAGGAAGTTCGAGCATGCTACGCAGAGCAGAGCCGACGCAGCGTATGAAAAATCCGTGTCAAACTTCACTGGTACGTAGTTCCGTGTAGCAAAACATCTATATTTTACTGTGAAGTAGTACACTACAGTTCTGTCCAGAGAAATCCGACCTCATGGATAAAGTAGATCCGCGCTCAAGTGCGCAGAGTTGTGTGTGGTGCCATGGGCTGCGTAGCCCCGGTATTATTCATGGCGTTGAATTTCTTTCGCCAGGACAGTACATGGTGTAGTAAGCCCGGTTTCACACTACGCACTAAACAACTTCGTAGAGAAAACAAAGGCACCTTTTCCGTTCTTTTCACACTGCATTGCATTGAGAGCCGTGCCATGCACTCCTGGGCGAGAGTGGCCCACCTTAATTTTATAACCCGGGAAAGGACAATCGCACGGCAGAGGGCAACTACAGTCCATTTCAAAACTATAGATAGGGATGTCAGCGAACGCACTGCGCAGGCCTCTGCGCATGCATTGCGTCATCGATTTTTTGAACGTGATCGCGGCCGACAGAGAAAACATGGCCGCGGTCTGTTTGCACCGCTGGGAGTCATAAAATTACTGTTTTTCTGTCCCCGCGACCATCAAATCATACGCGATACAGGAGGACCCACGAGCTCACCACGTTCTCCCCGGTCGATTTCTCTGAAAGTTTGCACATCGTGAAACACCAGTATGAGAGGTGTTCAGGCCAATTTTCAAGGGATTACCCTGGTTGGATCGTTCCAAAATCGGACTTGCATTTCTCGCTCGCGGCCATTTCTTGCGCGATGGAAGCGCCCTGCCCTGGTGAGTAACCAGCGTCGCGCTTGGTAGAGAGTTGCTGCAATCAGCTCCCTGATGTCTTCGCTGCCATTGTCAGAAGCGATGGGCCCTGAATTTGTTTGAGAGTCTCTGGATGCTACTTTTCCTCAGCCTAGTTTTCAGCCATTCCGTGCATCTTCTTCGCACGATTTATTTTGCAAAAAAATGAAAGGGTTCATGAGTTTTTTTGTCGGCCGCGCGTAGATGGGCCAGGCTGACCTGCGCAGATGGGCTGCGCAGTGCGTTCGCTGATATCCCTACTATAGACCCGTAGGGTTTTTGAAATATTTCAAATTTGGCTGGACCTTTTTGAGAATAGTTTTCGGAATATTGCCCAGGCGCGCTCCACAATTACTCTCATAATTATAGTTTTTTAACGATTGGATACTCGTAACAGACGCCCAATTTGGAAAAATTTATGCACAAAGTGATCACAGATTTTATGTGGTATAGATGCTGGCATAACGGTTTTTGCCTAGGTACGCGTCTATAGTTTTGAAATGGACTGTAAGTGTGTCCGTTTCGAGAACCTTAGTGTACTACGGTCACACTTAGCATGGTCTTGTGTGGAGGTCGCACCCACTCGCGGGTTAACTGAGTAACGGATTGACTGCATGACATGCAATGTGTGTACAAAGTATGTGTTGTATGACCTATAGACAGGATACAACCTCCACAACGCGACCATGAAAGGACGGATTGGTGGGTTGCTCTCGTGCTACTGTACCGTACTAGTACCGTAAAGTACCGCCAGAGCGCCCCACCATCTCGTCCTTTCGTGGCCGCCTTGTGGAGGTGGATTTCTGTCTGTAGGTCATACGACACGGACCTTGTACAAACATTGCACATTGTGCAGTCAATCCGTACCCAGTTTACCTTCGAGCTCCACATAAAAGCATACCAAGTGTGACCTTAGTACACGAAGGTTCTCACATCGTACAAACTTAGTAGCATTCTGCCATACAATTTTCTTCCCTTGGCTGTAAAATCAAGGTGGGGCGCTCTGGCGGTACTTTACGGTACATACACGAGTCTCGAGCAGCGGAAATTTGTCATTTGTGTTGTATCGAGATTGGTAACAGAACTAATGTGATTGGTCATACTGATGTAATGCAAGACTGTACGAGTACATGTACTCTTGGATTGTAGCTTTGTCACGCATACAATACGATGTAAACAATGAATTTCGCTTTCCCAAGCGCATGCGGCTTTATGCACCCTGGTTTGTGTGCTTTTGAAAGTTACCAGCCAATAATGTCAAGAGCAAACAGGCAACTGTGCCTTCTTAGGTGTATGCGAGTATATGAAGAAAACTATTCCAAGAGTGTGCAACTCCTATCTCGAGCTGCGATGGGTTCACCCACGGCGGAATTTTTTTATTGCGTCATTCTTTGGCTGAAGTATGATCAAGTGCGTATGCTTTCCCGCGCATTTTTGTAGATACGGTGAAAGTTCACCAGGTTCAAGACACATCGATCTATCGTCCGTCGTTCTGCTTCGCCTACCGTAGCTGTGATGTACACATCCTTTGTACGTTGATCTCTGGCTACGCATGATGGCATCAGCGAGCCAAACAGCCGCCAAAGACTGATGTCATAAAAAATTCCGCCATGGGATGGGGGATCGTCGAGTTGCACACTCTTGGTTATGCACTCTTGCTATCACCAGTATGCAGAATCTGTAAGCCAGAGAGATGCAAGTCCTGGAGAAAAGCCCCAAGGCGAAGTTTAATCAGACTAAAGATTAGAATAAGCCTCAGGCTCTTTATAAAGAGCATCTCTCCAAGTCTCCACAAGTACTTGTATTGCTTTCTCTTCAGGCGAATTGCTCTAGTTTATCACATTTTAGTTGCATCCTGAGTGTTGTGCTGCGTATTCAGATGGGTTTTTCATCAATTGTATTGTAGTGCATCATGACTTTGCACATCTATCGTTGTGCTGCTTCATTACGCGACCTGTTTTATTATATCTATTATTGTAGTGCTAAACTGCTGAATGTGGAAGCTGTCAATATCCACTCAAGAACCTAACCTAGCCTATGCAAGCAGAAACAGAACACACTCTTGCTCCGGCTGTTTGACAGGACATGAACACATCATTAATTTGGTCCATCTGTCTTTTATTAGCCTAATGTATCACACTGATTACATCCACCACACATTCAGGACAATAGGATATGTTAGGTTTCTACTCCTATTAAAGCATGCGCATGAGAATCAATACTTTATTCCTTTTTATGTGCTTCTTTTTCGCTCATCTCTGCTGCGTAATTCACATACATCTGTCAACAGTCATTGTCCTGTTTTTTGTTTTGTTTTGTTTTTTCTTCATGTATCCACCTGAAGAGAAGGCAGTAGATGTACTTGTGGAAACTTCGAAATTATAGTGCCTCAAGCTTGTTCTAATCTTTAGTTTGATTTAGGGAGCCATGTGTAGGGTCTAGGTGCATGTTTGTGTCATAGACAACTGTAGGACGTGCGTGCTAAATTGACATTGGGTTACTTTGTCATTAAAGTGGCAACCAATGGTAGCAAGGTGCAACACGCTTTATGTGATTGTGTTCAAGCTATGACCAAGATTACGTAACCCCCAAGGCAAGGCTGTGCAACTCTTGAGTGTATTTCACATACAGTGTTGTCCGCGACAGACTTTCAAGTTGACGTTATTTTCATGATGCAATGCTCCTAGCCCGAGTGATTTACGATGTCTATACAGGGTATCATCTAGTATCACAATGTGACATCACACGTGTTTCCTTGAACTACTCAGTAGTTCGTAAAGTATCGAATGGGGATTCGTCGACGTCCACTGCCACTGGTCACGTACGGATGCATCTGGAAATATGTTTCCCCGCGCATTGCATAAAAAAGATGACGTTCTGTCCTGCTTGTTCTGATAGTGGAGGTGCACACTTTCGGTGGTTATCTACGCTTACATGCTGCATATGGGAGTGTGTTCTATCCAGGGAGTAGTAAAAATTGTAATATTACATATTTATCAGGATGACCCAAGGCAAAGGCTGACCGCCTATCATGGGGTCCGTCGCATTGAAGGATGATGGTAGAAGAGAGTACAGATTGGGAAAGGGGTAAAATAAGTTGTGCTGCTCCTTGGTTCAACCTATGGCACATACTGGTGCAAATTCGCAGAGGTATTGCTGGAAGTTTCTGCATTCTATGGAGTCCTACATATAGATAGCCTTCGTATTGTCTACTTGGTCAATTTGGGAGAAAAAGACTGTAGAAGGGAGTTCACCTTCGCAGATCTACCCATTCTTGTATATCATTAAATTTTGATTTTGATGCAACGTCCGGATATCACCCATCTTCAAACATTAAAAAAAAGTACAATATTTTGTGGAGAAAAGCTCTTATTATTATTATGGTCATGCGTGTGCAGATATACGGCACCTCAATCGACGTTTGGTAGAGCTTGTAGAAGCAAGTAGAATCTACCGTTCAGACCTCAGGCCGCAGTCAGGGTAGGAAAAAAGGAACACATTATATTGTACCATACTTTTACTGTTCATATAGTACTATACGTATGTGGCTTTAAAGCTTTGTGGCCAAACAAAAATTAATGATTTCATTCTGGAACATCATTTGGCTCTCACAGCCCGGCTTGCCAAGAATTCCACATGTACCGCACACATTGAGGTCTGGTGACTTGAATGCATTTGTTCTTTCTTTCACTTCACATCAGTTCTACCATAGCACATAAGCCGGGGTTACTGATGTACACTTGGTTTTTTATTATTTTTTATGTACACTTGGTACTACACAGTAGGATTGTACCAAGAGTATAACGTTACAAGCTAAGGAACTTATTTTACCTTGATTGTACCTATGAGGTTATGTCCATACAGTGCTCGCAATGGGCAGAGCATTCTTACATGCACGGAAGTCAGAACAAGGTTTTTCTTGCACTTTTTTGTTGTTGCAGTGGGTGCATCAGGCTACTGGCATTCACCAATCAAAGCCAGTGATTACTGTGCTGCTCAGTGAAATCCAGTTGCGTCACTCAAGTCTGCACCATTTCCGCACCCCAGTGTTCGCAGGTCTGGGGCTAAGCAGTCAACTATTCCTGCATATTTCACTCCTTAGGGCCTGACTGCATGCCTATAATTATGACTCATTTTAGGGATTGAAAACATGCTTCGGCTTGTCGTGATAAATCTGAGATTCTTATATTAACTTCTTGACTTTGTACTAGGTCAAGATTGGACCTAATAAGTAATAATATAAGCCTCGTGAAAGACCTCAACTTCACCTCGGTCTTGAACTTGGCTTTTATAGTTTTAATTTCTATATTGACTTGGTAATCAGTCAACACAGAATACAGTCACCATGGTCACAGAGAGATTGCTCAGCAGTGTGCGTAGATTGATCAACAAGCTGTGTTTGCATTGGGCTAGCAGGCTAGCTAACAAAATTTAATATTTCATGGGATAGACCAGCTACCAATGATCTAGCTAGGGAGAAATTATGAATAAGCTGAATATGTGTACTGCGAAGTATTTGTACTGATACTCAAAACATTTGCAAAAAACAAAGTTGCAGGATGCCATATCCGTGGGCTTTCAAGAAGTTCTGATCGCTTAGTAAAGGAAGTTCAACGGCAGAAAACACTTTGCAGACATCGTGACTCACTGCACTTTTGTTGAAGAGTGAGACAGGAGGGCGGGAGCACAGAACGAGGACCACACTACATGACTGCACGGTATATCATAATGTATATACAGGAGGTCTGAACACCGGCATAATCCTGAGGCACAGTATAAGCAATACACGCTCAGTCGTTTAATCCAGCATGTCGGCAAAGTCGTCTGCGTCCACGTCGTCATCCGGTGTGGCATGCACTGACTCCGGCTGGTCGGCCTCGATAAACTTCTTGGCCTCCGTTGGCGACACATTGCTGCTGCTTGCCTCATCACTGCTGATGAGTGTCACCCCATTGCTACTTACTAGATTCCAGAAAGAGTTGCTTCCCACGGAGAAGTCACGCTTCACCGTACGGATGTGGCTGTTGAAGACATCCACTTCAGAGAGCTCGATGCAAGCTGCACGCAGCTCCCGTAGGCAACCCAGCGCCTTGGCAAAGAACTGGTCAGAAATCGAATCACGCACCAGCTTGAGCACCATCGCAGACATCTGATCGAATGCTTTTGTCGACAGATCGACGTCACGTCGATTCAGCATGGCGCGGAAATTCTTGACTGGCTCGACGGTGCCAACTTCAGTCACTCCGTCGGCAGTCAGCTCCTCCATTGTAATGCCAAGGGAAACATTGTTACCATCTGCGCTTGTATTAGTACGCTTCGCAGCGGGTGCATCGGCATCCAATGCCAGGTCACTCTGCTGCCAGGCACTTCTGCCATCATCTGCATGCTTTCGCTTCTTCTCCACGACTTCCAGCTTGAAAATCTCGCTGATGCGTTTCAGTTCGGCCGTGCAATCCGTTGCCACTTGTTGTGGCTGGTCGAGGTACGCTCTTAGCACAGCATCCAGCTCCGGTAGAGGTTCGTCGGTCGCCAGCGCCCGTCTCTGTACACACTGGAAGATATGTTGAAGGACTGGGTTGAGCATGTGCTTGGATTGCAGTACCTCGTACGTGTCGCCATCTTCGTCCACTTGATTGCACAGATCCATGTTGCTGATCAGACTGTCCATGATGTCGCTCTGCTCGGTAGTAACCTGCTTGCCGGTCAGCGACGCAAACGTGTACTGGCGTATGTCCTCCATGAACGGCATAGCCGTGAAGATCAGGCACTCGTACAGTGGCCGAATGTGAGCGAAGCACACACCGATCTTGGGTGCCGAGTTGGCACGTGCCACATACCGTACCACTGCCATCTTGTCGGTCTCAGCCAGTGCGTGTACCAGAGCGGAGAAAGCTATAGCAGCGTGCTGGTCACCGGGTGCAGGCACGACCACTGTGACGCTATCACCCAGACGGTTCTGTATCTTCACATTCTGTGCCGCTGTGAAACCGAGCACTTTCATGCTCTTCGTCGTTGTGAACTTCATGGCTTGTTCGTCAATCTTCAACATGGGCACGATGGTTTTACCAAACCGATAGCCTTTCGCCAGATCTGCCTTCTCCACCTCTGTCTCGTCCTCGTCATTTAGATGATATGATCTGTCCATCATTACCTTCATGGCACCAGGCTGAGCAGCTGCTTGACTGACGGCAGACATGCGTTTGAAGCTTGACGGCTTGACGGACTTCACGCGCAGGTACGACCACACATTGATCTTCGTATCGGAACCGATCTCAATGCACCCACGGAAAGTGGACGTCTGCTTTGTTTGCCGTTTTTTGAAGAAACTAAGCACCTCGATGGCGTTCTGAAACGAGACAGACTCGCCGCTTGCCTGCTGCAGAACACGTGTTAGAACGGCTTCTCCCGCTACTTGCATGGGAGTCTTCTTTCCACGATGCACAGGTGGCTGATCATCGCCGTCATCGTCGTCTTGATCTAGATCAGGTCCTACTATCTGCAGCTGGCAGTCTAATTGACCAAATCCCTGAACGATTGCATCCAGCTGATCCTCACTGCACGGACTGCCAGCATTCGTGATCATCAGAATCCGGCGATTACACTTCCTGCCCTGCGTCTCCCTGGCCAGAAGGTCGAGCGCCACCACTAGGCCGTCCACCAAATCGCCACCATCATCACCAGGCACGATTTTGTCCTCCAGATACTGCAGAAACTTCCAATCGCACTGCCCCAGGCTGCGAACTGTGCTCACGTGCTCGTAGCCAGCACCATCGTTCGCCAGGGCGTTGTCCGTGTCGTTCGTGCCAACAAGCACCAGGCCTATTTCATCCTTGGACTGTGAGAACAGTCTCTGCTGCACCACCATGTTCAGCACTTTTACAGCCAAATCTAGATCAGTCCCAGACTCTGTTGGTTGGCACATGCCTGGCCCGACGTCCAAGCAGACGACAATAGCATCTTTGGTTGCAGCCATCACGATCCAGTGGTGATCACTGTATTAAAGCGGAAAACTCTCTAGAATACTGCCTTCAGAACGAAGCACAGCAGACAAACCAACTATGGCATCAGTAAAAGGCTGCTGCTTTACTACTTGATTCAGAAAACTGCCTGCTCCAACAACGTTTTGTTGAGAGATGAACACCACATGTACATGTTTGAGCTTGAACCAACATGTTGGTTTCCCGCGAGAAATGAAAATGTTTTTGTGTTTCCCCGTTGGCGTCACAGAAAATTCACGTGATCCCTCGGTGAGTCACAGGAACTACGTCATCGATGGCACAGTGTACACGTGATCGTGAACGAGTTTGGAGTTTTGGACCATTCAGAAAATTACGAAATAGTTGTAGTGGGATACGAATGTAAATGCTGACGTTTGGCTTTCTCAAGCCACAAGAACCGCTCTGCGAAGTAAGTAAGTTAGTTCAAGCGAATGTGGAAGGCAATACCATTGAGTTGAAAATCCGCGGCTCTTGCTTGTGCCCACCTCACCAGTCTTCGCGAAACACTAAAGTAAAACGTTGCCTGGCTAAATAAAAGTCACACAGCTACTCGACCTCCTAGCTGGTATTCAGTGATACAAACATTGTCTTGAAAATGGCATCAAATGATCCAGCTGCCTCAGAGAACGTGGAGAATGAGTCTCCATTTCAAAGTGACGAGGAGGTTCTTGATGAAGGTAAGCCAGCGTGCGAATATGTTTTGCTGATGTACGCTCTTTCACATTTCTCAGCCCAAATGAATTAGCAGCTCAGCCAACCAACATACGTATATTTTGAGCATTATGATGATCAGCTTGATGGGAATAGTTTTGCGTGTACGTTTTACAAGCCATGTGGTCTGAAGACTTACCACTTCATAAAACTCGATACTTCAATAAATAGACATACACACGTATCTCTCTTATCCGGGCAATCCAGGACCGGGCCAGCAATGCTCATACTGTAACTTGGAAATACATGCATCTGTTACTCTGAATGACGCTCGTTTTGATAGGGAAGTGCCAGAGATCTGGCATATGACGTCACTCTTTCCTCATAATTTGCAAAAGAGTAGTAATATTTTCACTAGAACTCACCCACAGGGTACGCGGCGCCCGGTAGACCGAGGTGCCCGTAACTTCGAGGTCTGGATAAAAGATATAAGGCTGTGATTGTTTGGTCGGATCCAGATCCAGATCCACTGGATCTGCAGCTATCGATTGGTCAAATCCCGATCCAGATCCCTCGGATTTGGATCCAGCAACCTTGCCCCGGGAGCAAAGTTGACTGGATCCAACGGATCCACTTTTTTGCCAAGCATGATATTTGTACGTGTTTGGCGGGTAACAATCATTGTTATACGCATTTAGTGCGCATACACGTGGAAAAGCGTTGTACCATGCAGATGAGTACAACGAGTACGGATCTGGAGTAGCTTTTCAAGAGTGGTTTTTCTACCTCACCATGGTCACGGTATACCAGTAGGAGTGTGTTCCAAATGTGATCGGTTGATTCTGAGGGATCCAGCAGATCTCGGATCTGGATCTGGATTCAGATCCGACGAAACAATTACAGCCTAAGTGTACTTTCACTAATACAGGTGGAATCCTGATAATTCGACTATGGCTTAACAATTCCCACGTAAATATTTCTGGTAATTCGAACCTCGAACTGGACATGTCCGATTAATTAGAAGTCCCACAGATTCCACTCACACAGAAAATGTGTGGGATTTGTGCTGATAATTCGAAGTTAGCAAAGTGTAATTCGAAGTTCACTGTACACTGTACTGGTCAGTTCAGTTTGCATGAGCAGGCTGTGCCGGTCAGTTCAGTGTCCGCAAAATTTGTGTCTAAGGTCCATAGCGCAACTCTGCGTGACCATAAGAGCATTTTGACATACATATTGAGTTGTGGGTTCATGTTTGGATAATTAGAATGTCCGGATATTAAATTAGAAGTTTTTTCCTGGCATTTTGAGGTTCGTATTATCAGGATTTCACCTGTACAAGATCACCCCAGAGCCGTACCCTGTGACAGTCTACGTACGATATTCTGGAGGGTGCAGAATGGCACAATGACTGGACCATTTCGAGTATGGCTTCTTTTCTGTTGAATCTGGAACAGTGCATTTTCCAGTATACTATATTGATCTTGATATTTCGTCTTGTCATGTCCATGCTGTGGTGGGAGAATGATCTCTTTGCCATGTGTTTGTTTTATGTGCGTGTGTGTGTATACACGCATGGGCATGTTGGTTCGCTTGCATGTGTGCGATACATTAGCTCCTGCATCCGGCATTGTCGTTGAGTTGAATGCAGATGACACTGTAAGTTCCATTGGTGCTTCAGCAAATACATGTACTGTACTAAGAGTAGGACTTGGAGTCTTGAAGACTGCATACGAAGCAGTACTCAGTATGTGTATGTATGCAGGGACTTCTACATTTGTCCTTTAGCCCTCTTTTATCCGGACCGCATCCGAACACCAGACCTCAGACCTCAGACATGCCCATCGCGGAAGCGATGATAGCGAACAGCTATGTTAGACATAGCAACTTGTGCACCACACACACACACACGCACACACACACACACACACACACACACACACACACACACACACACACACACACACACACACACACACACACACACACTTGTACTTGTTGCTCACTGCCAAAACTGGTCACGTGGGTCTCCCCGGGAGAGGGGAGAGAGACTCAAAAGGAATCTTGGAAAGATGACTCAACTGGCTATTGAACCGCCCAACGGCCGACACCCCCTGAAATCCCAAAACTCTGGGTGGACCTGAAAATGATCCCACTTATGGGCTCACCACACCTCAGTAAGTGGGTGAGGACAAGGTGCAGAAAAAGGATTGACGGCATCAGGGTATCCGTCCTGGGATCCAACTGCAGTTACCCCTGCCCCCAGTGAAGGTAATACTTGCTACTAGTGTGGGTGGCACACACACACACACACACATACACACACACACGCACCTTACCGATACATCGCCGATACTTACTTACTTCCTGCAGAGTAACACCTACCCTCACGTATTCACGCCCAGTTGTTAGTCTTCATAGCATTTGGTTTTCATTTCCATACATGTACAATACGTACAAATGTAGTTCCATATGTATTGGACCTTTGTTGTCATTCACTTCAGTTTTTAAAATCCTCATGATGGGTCGAGCCGGAAAATTTGGTGAAATATAAAGTCAGTCATTCACAGTGGACAAGTGGGTTTTGGTACATGGCTGTTGTGTTCTGTAGGAGGTTGATTTTACACACTGTGGACTCACAGATTTATCAGTGCTGCAACCACTCGGGAAACTAGAGGTGAGTAAGCACTGCTGGCGTTTTCTAAGATCCCCGCTTTGATTTCTCCTGTGTATAATCTGTTTTTGAAATGTTTTTGTTTGTTTGCTTTCTGATGTTTTCTGCTTGCTGAGCTCTTTGCTCTGTGTTTGGTCTGGAGCCACCCCTTGATTTAGGCACCATTGCCTTTGGGTTATCCGTACTTTCACTAATAATAATGAAAATGTTGAACGGTCTCTGCTGGGATGACAGCTACACCATAGCTCAGTTTTTAGAGCATCGCTGGCCTCAAGCGAAGGTCCCTGGTGCGATTCCTGGTGGTGACAGTCAATTTGTTTCCTCAGACGTTTCCCTTTTCCATTCCCTCAACTGGTGAATATAATCTGTTACCCTAGAAATGCTGGCTCCAGTCTGACTGTCAGCTCTTTCGGCCTTCTGCAACTCTTCGGCTGAGTTTGTCCTATGGACGTCTGGACGAAAAGTTGAAGATCACAGTAGACTTAGTGTCTCCTCACCACCAGCAGCATGCCGTCCATGTAAAGTAGTACCTCTTCTAGTACTTGTACATTTTCTAATTGGATTTTCCTATTTATTGGACCGGATTTATCGCCATTGCTTTCTTTGCTTGCACTCTTCGAGCTCTTCATCCCGCGCACCACCAAGTTTCGCCCGGCTTGTTATCAAATAAAGGCAAACTTCTCAGTACCTGTACATTTTGTTGTTGCTGTGTTGCTGTGTACACTTGCATGTGAATGTGCTCTGCCAGGTGGTTGGTGCTCGGCGGAATCGCATATCCTGCATCGGCGACAACCTGACGCAAAGTGCCGAGTCGCTGAAGGAAGTCGACCTGTATGATAACCGCGTGGAGGCGATTGAAGCTGCCGTCGAGTCATTCACCAATCTTGAGTAAGTGTGGATATGTAATTTCCTTCTCAACCTTTCTTCGCATAATTGTAACATTGCATGGTAGTTTTCTTTGTGTCCTCTCGTCAGGAGAGCCACCGAGCTCGTTGGCTGAGAGCAAGATATTGTCTTTAGCCTTTACCTTTCCTCCTTGTTTCACACATGCCTACATGTGCCTGAAGCAAGCGGATTGTTTTAGTTTCTCCATACTGTAGCACGTTGACCGGTTGCCTGAGCTTTCCCGTATCATGTTTCAAGAACATGGTCAGTGTCTTTCTTTACAAAATAACATCCCGTGACAGTAACAGGGTAGCTGATTGACTGCTTTGACATTGTGCTTGCTTTAGGATTTTGGACCTATCCTTCAACCGCGTCCGCACGTTGGAAAACCTTCGTCTGCACAAGCTGAAGCGGCTTTTCATCGCCAGCAACAGGATCTCTAAGATCAATGAATTGGGTAGTGTGCCGGAGCTGACAGTACTGGAGTTGGGATCGAATCGCTTACGGGTGAGTTCTATGCATTCGTCAGTCGTGAATCAGAACCATTCTGCTATCAGGTCCTCTACATGTAGATTGAAGTTGAATTGTGTTAGCTCTCCTTTCTGTATATCCAAGGTGTGTGTGTGTGTGGGGGGGGGGGGGGGAGGGGGCAGTTCTGCTCTCTGCAGCCTGTCTCTATTGTGCATCCAGCCTGTATTGCAGCGACTTTTAATTGCGTTAGCTCTCCTTTCTCTACATCTCAGGCGCAGGGGGGGGGAGCTATCTCTAGTGTACATACAGCCTGCATTGCAATAACTTTTAACTCTTTATTGGCTGGCCCATACATTGATCGAACACCGATGTTCGATGGGGTAGGCATTTTGAAATTATCGTAACTTGGTCAAATCTCGGTCTTTCGGAGAGATCGAAATATGTAGGTCGAAGAGAAAACTCTCAGCTGTCGCCTCAAACAATTTTCAAAGCGATACAAAGAGCGGTTCGTAAGTTATAGCACTCGTAATATTGGTCCCGGGACATTTGTGCTCAGAGTGCGATGCGTGGGTCAACAGCCGGGATTTTCCCTGCTTGCGTCACCTGTTGACAAGGCTACACCGATTCAACTTCAAAAGCAGGTTCCCGGGAGTGTCTACGAAAATTTTGAGTTTGATACGAGCAACAGGAGTGAAATGGTGGATAGAGATAGATCTCGAGCGTGAGCCCAGCGCTGGTGGGCCTTCCCTGGCTTGCAGCGCTGGGCCAGTGCATCCCATGGAGTCGAGTGTAGGCTCATTGCGCTCCTCTCGTCAAGGCCTTTCCAGGATGCCCAAGATCGTGGAATTTGTCCAGTGCAAACTAAAGTTACGTCCAATTTAGTTACAGGTTTGGCGATTGCGTGGGCTTGTTTATATTTTAATCGGCCAATAAAGGGTTAAAAGGGATATCGACTTGAAAATTTAGTAACATGTATATCATTGCAATGCCTCAATAGTGTGAGGAATGGTGCATGTTAGGTTCTCTAGACAAGAGACATACATAAAACTCTCCTCCTCCATGCGCTCTAAAGCCGACCGTTGCTACCCTCTGTAGCCATTACTCACACCAATAATCTCAAACAACAAAGGGGTCACGGGTAAAACATTTCCTTCTGACAGCTGTTTCGCCTATCAAAGAAGGTGATACTGGATATTGTAATTGACATGGCAATGGCAATGGTAATGGTAGCAATGGTCGGCTTTAGAGCGCATGCAGGAGGAGAGTTGTATGTATTTAGAAACATGTAGCGAACCATGGACATACCCTTTACATAAACCACTCGAAGGAGACCATATTTTCCTTAGTGCCCTATTTTCTTGTGAATCAAGACTGAAGAATATTTACAAGGGGAGAGCGATAATATAGGTGAGTCGGAGTGCATGCCTGTAGCTGTAGTGTGCCGTGAAAGTGTCTTGCGTACAGCGTCAGCAGAAATACACAAGCGATAAAGATACTAGTACAAACGCATCGAAATAAGCTCCCAGGGAGTAGCGAAGAATCAAAGAGAAGCAAGAAGAGCACCAAGTTGTGGAACTAAAACAGCTCCACGTGCATGTAGCTGAAAAGGTGACACATAAAGATACGCACGGTGCAACGAGTCCAACCGTGAGCATGAAAATGGATAGTGAAGGCCATCGAAGATGCCGATAGTCGTACACACAGTCCGTGTTGGATGTCAGTGCGTGTGCAAACCAAAGTGCATGGGTTCAAAGGGTGCCCGGAACGGAAACATTAGAAATGCAACGAATTGCAAGGTGAGAAAAGGGTGCCCAGAATTGAACCTTAGAAATGCAACGAAGTGCAAGGTGAAAAAGAGGTGTCACAAAGGGATGCGAGTGATTGAACGTACAAATCATGCACTGAACAAGGATACCTGTATATGTAGCTGTGAATTCTTGGTTATATACATGCATTGTGCTCGTGACTACGAATAAATCCGATCGCATTCGCGACAAAACAGCCGAATGGTGCCGTTCACAGTTTTATTGATAGACAAGAGACAAGTAGTTTATTGGTTAGAATATACTAATATAAAAAACGAGAGAAGATTCAATCTGTAAACGACAGGGAAGACTCTCAAAAAGATACGTGCGTGCATACACATTAGAGCTAAAGTTGTACGGCATTACATCGTAACGAAACACGCCCCTTCGAAGATAAAATTCCATGGGTGTCAACCAGACACAGAATAACAGAGTGACGTAATAATAATTATACTCTCATGAGAGGCATGCGCTGTTCTTGCGGCACATTGTCGCGAAGTGGTTCATGCCCTTGCATTTACGACACTCTTTGCCCTTGGCAGGACACATTGACTTGTTATGCTGAGATCGTCCGCACTGCGGGCACTTCGCCGGCTTGTCAGCTGGAGCAGATCTTGGCTTACTAGTCAAAGCGGATTTGCTGCGTTGGTACGAGGACCTTTTCACGGCATTTACGGATGCAGGTACCATGCCGTCTCCGGTCTGCTGTGCGACTTCCTCAGCCCTGCGAATCTTGGCCGCGGTTTCCAGAGTGAGGGACGGAGCTGCCAGGAGCTTATGGCATGTGTTTTTTCGGTTGCTGTCGCTGCTGCTGCTGGGAAGTGACTTGCCTGGTGACTTCTTTTTTAATAAGAGCGCCAATCTCTTCTGAGGTTGGAGGCAGTGCTTGTACATCCATCTTTTCTTTTGGCTTGTCTTTTCTGGCTGAGTTTAAATCAGTCCGACATTGTTTAGCGATGATGCAAGCTTGTCTTAGCCCAGAAAGATATTCGAAACGGTAAATGTGTTGACTGGCAAAAACGCTGGTTGCTTTCTCAGATGCAAGTCTTTCTGCAAGAGTGTTGAAATCAGTGTGAGCTTCAGTTAGTGTAGCTTCCGCTTTACTCAACTTGGTAGTGCAGGCGGCTATTTGCTTACTCACATATTCTGTGCACTCAATCAAACTGGCCTTATCTGATAACTTGGAAAACTTCTTAACGATATGATCCTGAAAAGAGTTTCCATCGATATTTGACTTTGCAACTTCTCTTTCTTTGCCGACTGCTCTGATATAACCTTCCTACTGGTAAATACACGATTAACGCACCAGGTAACGTACCTCTCTAGCTCACCATCGGGTAGAGGACGGGCGCCAGGGCAGGTATCGGGTGAGGGATCGGCAGTATCGGCAGAGTCGACGGTTGCAGCTGCAGAAGACTTAGCGTTGATTGGAGCGTCGATTAGGGCGACATCATCATCGTCATCATCATTATCGAAAGCAGTGTCTTCACGCTGGCGTTTAGAGGTTCTCATTGAGGTGACACCTCCTACACAAACAAATGCGACATTCTTTTTTGTTACTGACCGGTTTCACTACAAAGTGTTGATCATCAGAGTAACACAAAAGAATGTCGCATTTGTTTGTGTAGGAGGTGTCACCTCAATAAGAATTCGGTCCCGCATCATGTCATCCATCACCTTGCGGAGGCGCTGGGGCAAGTGCTACACAACTGGGGTGTACATGTACTACACAGCTCCATGTCGGGGAAATCGCACTGTGCAAACAGTTCCCTCATCGCTGTGAAGAATGAGTCAAACGACTCATTCCGCTGCTGCTTCCTGTTATAGAATGCAATCCTATCAAGGATGGGATTCCGCTGCCGTCGGATATATGCTTTCACGGCTATGATTATCTCCGGAGCATCTGCTTTGTGGGATGCGACAATTACATCCTCGCGCATCAAACGCCGAATGTCTGCATCAAAAGCTTGACGAAGAGCTGATACCCGAGTCTCACGACTTTGGCTGACGAGGTTCTGACACATAGCATAGTCATTCCAAGCTTCCTCCCATGATGTCGTGAAATCGGCCATGGTTGCGGTGCTGAGCAATACTGGTCGCTCGACGGGAATTGGTTTCTGACTGTGAGAATTGGTCGAGGTGCTTCGCTGTACCTGGTTGTTGCGCGTTGCGTTCTCAACCAGTGCGGTGAGGCTTTCATCTGCTGCTGCTGCATCAAGGCGAGCAGTGATGCAATTTCTGCGCTGACAGGGCAAATTCCAGAGTCCGCGATCACAATTCTACAAATTCTACAACTACAAGTACACCTATGCTACACCGTCACGATCGATCGTTTGAAAATAGAAGGCTGCAGAATTCACGGACAACTACAGGCTGTCAAATATTCTGTACTCAGGTTACTAGTAGTTCACTGCGCCATGTTAGGTTCGGTAGACAAGAGACAAGTAGTTTACTAGTTAGAATACACCAAGAAGAAAAACTGAGAAGATTCAATCTGTAAACGACACAGAAGACTCTCAAAAAGATATGTGCGTGCACACACAGTAGAGCTATTAACGTTGTACGACATAATGTCATAACATAACAGTGCGTACAGAATCTACAGATGATCACTTGGCACATCGTGTTCCTGACAAACTTCTTGCACACAATGCACACAGTTAATACTTTGTGACCAGCCAGCCACCAGCCACCACGTGTACACTGCTCTTTGGTTTTGCGTTGCAGAAACTCGAGGGAATGGAGGAGCTGCCGAAATTGGAACAGCTCTACGTGGGGCGAAACAAGATTACGAGCTTGCAGGTACGCAGGTGTGGAGGTCAAGGTGTATGTAGTTTGCCATGTTGGGTATTTTTAAAACTCAGCTACTGTGTGTGTGTGTGTGTGTGTGTGTGTGTGTGTGTGTGTGTGTGTGTGTGTGTGTGTGTGTGTGTGTGTGTGTGTGTGTGTGTGTGTGTGTGTGTGTGTGCATGCATGTGTGTGTGTGTGTGTGTGTGTGTGTGTGTGTGTGTGTGTGTGTGTGTGTGTGCTTGTGTGTGCATGTGTGTGTGTACGTGTGTGTTTAGAAGCCTTTGTGTGAGCGTGCGTGTGTAAGGGTTTGAGGCCTACACCTGCCCATACTCATGCCATTAGAAGCGCGGCCTTCTATTTTTTTCAATACTGGCTTTGGTGAGGCTTGTATTGAAAAGGGGCTTGTTATTTCAGCATACCTTTGCAGAATGCACTGGCTCCACAGTGTCCACAGTTGCATGTCCCTCATTTTTTTAATTTCTCATGTGATATATGCATTCTGTATCATTATTCTACCTTCATTCTTGCATTCCAATCATGATGCCATATGGGCAACTACCACTGAACTGCTTCGATACGTGTGAATGAGGTTTTATTCAAGAAGAGTGTTTATTTTTCTAACGGTCTTGGCAGGCGGCTTTTTGAAGGTCCAGAAGGGCTTTTTAAAATAGTTAAATTCCAGAGGGGCTTCTTTTCAAGTGAGTACAATGTCTGACTTGACTCTTTGCTGCACAGATTGCTCATGATTATGATTGCGGCCGTGTGACTGACTGTGTGTGTGTGTGTGTGTGTGTGTGTGTGTGTGTGTGTGTGTGTGTGTGTGTGTGTGTGTGTGTGTGTCTGTGTGTGTCTGTGTGTGTGTCCTGTGTAGAACCTGTACCCGCTTGTGAATCTAACACTACTCAGTATACAGGTGAGTGAATGAGTGTACTACTGGTATGCCGTGTTGACTGTTCAATTGCCAGCTAGCTGTGCCGTGTGCTACAAGTACAGAGCACATGTACATGTGCACGTGAGAGTGAGATAGAATTTTTTTCCCCAATACATTAGTTTAAGAGGAAAACTAGAGGAAAACAAACAAACACAAGAAGCAAGAATGACAAGAAAAGCAGAAAGATGAACATGATATAAATGAGCATGGCAATCGACCTCAACAGAGGTAGAATTTAGCCCCCGTGAACTTGTGAGTAGGTGCCGTGTGATTTCCTTGCAGGATTCGGTGGCGTTACCTGGGTGTTTAGTAGGTCTTTAGCTTGTCGTATCCAACACAAGGCTGCAGATTCCACACAAACTCTGACCTTGTGTGTTTACTTGTTTACAGCCTGGGCATAGGTAGAGTGCATTACTTGTTTACAGCCTGGGCATAGGTAGAGTGCATTCACTCTACTGTATCGCATTTTCTTCTTCTCTTGCAAGTGCTTTCCTCTTTGTTTGTTGTTTGCGCGTGTTGTAAGCTGCCCGTTTCTCCTATATCTTTTGGCCCCATTTTGACGTTTGGAACGTTGAAGAGAAATCGTGCTTCCTTTGGTGCGTGCCCATTCGTGTGCCTTGGTGTTCACAGAGCAATCGTCTGACCAAGATCGAGGGTTTGGAGTGCCTCGTGAACCTGGACAGCCTCTACCTCAGCCACAATGGCATCGAGAAGGTGGAAGGCTTGGAAAACAACGTATGTCACCTATTCTATATTCCGTTCGTTGGTCACAAATGTATTTCTTACCAGCCTGTCCTGTAGGGGCATCCAGATCAGTGGGAAACTAACAGGAGTCTGCATTGTAATTGTACATTACTGCTACTTCAGAAGTATTGTGCTGCTTGCACCTCGGCAGTACTCTTTCAGATACATGTGCTAATGGTATTGTCATGTGATGAAACAGCCTACTGTGTAACAAGTTAAGAGTGGCGGTTGAGAGCACACGCTGAACATCACCACCCGCGCCAGGCGTAAACTGATGAATAATGATAATGTTGAAAGGAGACAGTATGGACGTGCGAGGCGTCACAGACCTGTGTGCATGTAGATATAGTAGAGCGTGTGATGTGTTTGGCGTCTGCCGACCGCCATTTTACAGACTGCATAGAGCGCTGCGTGTGCCGTCTTCAAATACATTCTCCTGGTTTTCTCTGTTGTTTGTATGTTGCATAATAGCCAGAGTAGTAATTTTACTACTCCCTGCTATAGTTGTATCATGTCACCGCTTCTCTCCAGAGTTTCTCTAGAATGAATTACCGTTCTAATGTGGTATTGACCTGTGCTTTGGCTTCTGTTATTGTGCTCTGGTATGTGCAGCTGAAGTTGACCACTCTCGACTTGGGCAACAACCGAGTCAAGAAGATTGAGAACGTCTCGCATCTGACAGCACTGGAGGAGTTCTGGGTAAGCAGGATAGTACTTGGGGGTCATCTGGTTTTAAAATGTGCATGCTTCAGAGAGTGTATGTACATATGTGTGTGTGTGTGTGTGTGTGTGTGTGTGTGTGTGTGTGTGTGTGTGTGTGTGTGTGTGTGTGTGTGTGTGTGTGTGCGTGTGCTTTCAAAATGCATGTTGTGCAGGCAGAAAAATTGAAATTGAAAATAATTCACGGTTCACATTCTACGCAGTTAGACTGGGCTGTTCGCATGCGTAGGAACACCACCACTCTCCTGGATCAATGGCGCCAGTGTAGCTCCTAAAGAAATGCATGTGTTTCTTTCAACGAAAGTAGGCAGGTAGCAGGCTTTCCCAACATCCTGCTTTGTCCGGCACAAGCCCGCGTTGGACTTATCATGTGAAGCAACACAGCTCAGTGTATAGCTGGTCAGATTGCTTGTCAAAGCCAAGGCTGTTACCCCTGATGTTTGGGTTGTTACCTCTGTGGTGTTTGGGTTGCTACTTCGATGATGCCTGCTCAAGGGAAGCAGATCACTTATCGGCATGTTCTTGGCATTGCACTTCTTCTCAAGTTGAGTGGTAGGGATTTGTCAACAGTACTCAGTGCCATTTTGTCAGTCGCTTCGGGTCTACAATGTACTTTGACATACTCGCCGTGTGGTTATTTTATCTCCTTCTTCTTGCACGTGTGTAGTTCAATAACAACCAGATCTCATCCTGGGAGGATGTGCAGTGTTTGACGAATGCCACGAACATACAGACGGTCTACTTGGAGGCTAACCCGATCGCCAAGGACCCTGCGTACAGACGCAAGCTGAAGCTGACTCTTCCATCGCTGACTCAGATTGATGCTACTATGTGCTAAGCGAGGAATACTGTTGCCGTGCGATGGGTTTTGTTCTCAGCCATCATCTTCACCCAAGCAAGTAGCGGATTCTAGGAATGAAGGAATCCTTTGCTGAGATGACTGGCTCTTTGCTTATTGGCTGATCTTCGTAACACATTGCTGCATGGCTTTCTCCTCACGGCCACCGCCCATTGCCAGCCAGCACAGTTCTAATGCCAAAGGTAATGGCTACCAGGCGGTTTAAACACTGCTCTTTTGACACCCGCTGGATACCTGTACTGGATGTAGGGTCCTGCTTCATCATCCTTTCCTTTCTATTGAAATTCAAGCAATGTCCCAGATATGAGTGCAGAATGACCTGGCTGCGTGCAAAGAAGACATACTAGTCGCCCTTTCGGGTCTCGGTTGCGCTGACCTTCGCAGACATGCTCTGTACGAATCGCAGCTCTACCCATTCAACCTCTAGGTTAAACTACTGTGCCCTAGCGTCTCTTTATCTGTCAAATTATTTTCTAATTGATTTACGAGTTTTGCCTTTTTTTTAAAATACTTCAAGTAAATAAAACGCCATTGTGCTCATGTATTACTTTTTTTTTTTGAAGTACTTTAGCGTGTTGCCTGATATAATAGCACATTGCATTAGCTTTGCATGTGCTCATTCATAGCACAGTGTACAGTACAGTGATTACTAGTGTACACGACGACTTCTACAACAAAAAAAGAAATTTTCTAAATCCTACCAACCCCTAGGAGTAACGAGGGTCCGAACCTGGGTTTTCCCAATACGGTTCAAATGGTCGCAAGACCGGGACTCTGCCAGCCGGGTTATGGTTGCAGTCAGGAGCACTACGCGTCCTTGCCTTGTAACATGCTGTCAAAATCGAAAAACATGTTAAACTACCAAGCAAGGCTTCTGTGTATAATTATATTGTACAGTAGTAGCCAGTCATTCTGGTGTAGGGTTTTTTGGCATTCATTTAGCACATGTACAGGAAATCCGCAGTTCTTTTTGTGTACGTTTTGTTTGTATTGTGTAAGCAGAAGGAGCGTAGTACACTGTACTACAGATATTCAAAATGAGGGCAAGAAGAGTGCGAAATGGAGGCTTATGAGCGAAAGTACATCTGGCTTTCTTTAGAATATTATGATGCAGGAACGAGAGACTTCGAAAGTAACCGAAAAGTCATGAGAGTAAAACGTATGAGTAAAAACTAAAACGTGATGAGTCATTAAAGGTAAGTTTCTCAGTCCTACCGTTGCATTTTCAAAACAATGTTCAGGTCTGCACATTGCACTCTGCTTAAAAAATTAAACTACACTTCCATTTGAAATTATGTGCAACTTGTGCAAACCAGTGCGAGCCAGCACTCTCCGAAGAGAAAGATAATAGTAAATATTCAAATACCTTTAAAAAAAAAAGAGAGAGAAATTTGATGCATCTACTGAACACCATGATGCACTCTACGTCCTTTTCAACCATTGGCTGGCAAACACGACATTAGATTGTGGCAAGAGAAAGAGAGAGAGAGGAAGAGAAGAAAGAAAAGTCGAGCTAGCTACTGTGGCATTGCAGACCATAGCAACAAAATTTAAAAAAGGTGTTCAACATGCACACTTGCACTTTCTCACTACGAAAAGAGAGAGAGAGAGAGAGAGAGAGAGAGAGAGAGAGAGAGAGAGAGAGAGAGAGAGAGAGAGAGAGAGAGAGAGAGAGAGCATCTACAGATTTATCTAAATAAAAAAAACTAAAAGCAAATCCTGACAACCAGCCAGGGGATTCGCCGGCTATTACTTGCCATAGATAGGATACGCAAGAGTTGTGGGCAGCTCAGAATTATGCCGAGCCAGTTGCTCTTCGCTGTAGTTCAAGACAAGGTCCATCAAGGTCGGGAAGCGGAACGGCTCGGAAAAGCCGTAGCCAACGTCCTCTTGATGGTAGATCTTGATATGTTTCATGGATTTGTAGCTGTGCACACCACACCGTGGAGACAAGAGAGCAGGTAACACTGAGTCGCTGTGTGCACATGTGCCCCTTGTGCTGCACACAGCATCTATTTCAGCCAATGACACGAATTTTTTGTAAGCCTCATTCATTTGTGCAACTATGAGCTAAATAGGACAGAACAGCCATGGTGACAAAAGGCACATATCACATGTACCATGTACCATGTGTCTACTCACAGCAGCATGTCTTGCTGTGTAAGAAGAGCACCACTGAATCTACATGCTGCCGTGCAAGCTCTACATGAACATTGGGAAATGAGCAGCTCATCATGGGCACTGCACATCGCGAGTGGACTCCGCTGTGATAGAGCACCCATGTTAGCAAGTGTTCACAGTACATGTATGTACGTACGTATGTATGTATGTATGTATGTATGTATGTATGTACGTACGTACGTACGTATGTATGTACGTACGTATGCGGGTACAACTGAAAAGGAGTTCACTGGCTGTAGCACTTACAATATGTCAATGGTGTGCGTGTGTCGGTCGCCCTGCTTGGGGTCACGTGAGCGCACAAGGAATGTGCCATCTCGCTTGCCCTTGCTCAGCAGCTGATAAGACTCCTCTCTGCAAGAGCACGCACAGGGAAAGCCAAACACAATGCTGAAAGCAGGCGATGCAGGTGGAATTAATCCACAGCACCTTCAGATTTCAGGCTGCTTTGACATCCCAATTCACCAACAACCGACGCTGTATGCACAGATTGACCAAGCTCGAGATTACCCAAGAAAGAAGCAATTCAAAATCAGAGGAGGATAGTCCGAAGCATATTCAAGCGAGGTACAGTCGGGCTTGATGGCTAATCAGTCCTCTGCACGGATACCTCACTTGACTATCTATGTCAAATTTCGCAAGCTGTATACTTCGAAGTAGTTACATTGATTGCAGGTTTGTGAGTGTTCCACGTACTGTACTGATCTGCTCAGTGCACATCTCATTGGGCTGAGCTCGGTGATGTGTTATCAGACACTATGCCGGTCACAATGCTGTACATGTATATTGTTCACCAGTACAGCAGCACCACTAAGTAGGTCTACATCTGTTATGTTCCACAAACTTGGATAGAATTACCCAACGCACATCAGGAAGTGCCTTATGTACAGACTACATATTAGCGCTAGCTAACTGAGCGTGCCAATTGTCCTAATAATGTGGTACAATTGATCCATATACTCTGAAGTACATACAATATCACACCAACATCTACACGTGCACAGTATCGGCTTCAGCAGACACACCGTACACCGTACACAGTAGTGACTTCTCACCTGGACAGTTTGCCAACAAACCATGTGCTCTGGTCATACTTGCGGTGCTTGCTCTACAGCCACGTACGGAAGAACGAGCACATGTGCATATTATGAACACACGCACGCGCGCGCACACGCGCACACACACACACGCACACACACACACACACGGACATGCATAGCGGAATCAGCATTTTGATAGATGATGTACGTACACTGCTACTGCATGTACTTGTGTCATACTATGACATTGTTGCAGTAATACACGCACAGTACAAGCATTCACCCTACAGCAGTGTAAGCCGGCAGCTGCTGATTCGTTGGCATATTTACCTGTGTCTCAGCGATGTGCATCTCCATTTGTTTGCGGAGGTCACTGTAGGAATACAGAGCAACGCGTGCAGAAAGAAAGATACGTTGAATGCTCCCACACTCAATATCCATACCACACTAGTACCGGTATGTGCTTGCATGTGATTTCAGTACATGCATTGGAAATGTTCTGTTTCGAACTCCTGTGTCGAGCGCCTACAGCACAACGGAATCGGTCAACACAAACGCAAACGTGTGTTATCGAGAGTAGGGCTGGTCATTACCCCCCCCCCCCCCCCCCCCCGCCGGAACCACTGTCTTACTCGGTGGAGTAGTAGAGCTCCTCAAACTCTTTGGACTTGTCCCGGTGAGACGTATCCTCGGCGTGCGGCTGGTGTACGTCGCCTCTTGTGACCGAACCCTGCTTGGACAGCTGTCCCAGGCGTCGGTGAATCTCCTCGCTGGAGAGATTCTGCTGTCCCAGCCACCTGCATGATGATCACATCATTGCAATCACACATCATGGCATGGTCCGTTTTACAGGCAAATGAGCACATGCGTACCAGTGCAGCCAATATGTGCAAGTACAGTGACCAAGCAAAACCACGGGATACCGTGTGGCGTGTTCGAAAGCATAGGCATATGCACGTGCCAACACACACACACACACACACACACACACACACACACACACACACACCGCACACACACACACACACACACACACGCACGCACGCACACACACACACACACACACACACACACATGCGCGTTGTCAGAACTGCGGAAACACAGATGCAAACTTCCACTGGCAGAATAGCCACGCATACAGCCACCTCAAAGACACAACAAGCTCTTACATCATCAGCTGTGTCCTCCGTCGCTGCAAGCACATGATCTCCGGCGACAGGGTGTTCATGACGCGGTCGAGACGTCGATTCTCTAACATAGCCTCTTGATGCTGCGTGCTGAACTCCTGTTTCCTCTGACGAATCGTCTCCAGTCTGGTTTTGATCAGGACATTGTTCTTCTGTAACCTACACAATGCCAGAAGCCAGGGATGTCATCTAACATGCCATAGTCAATAGTGCATAGACATAGGCTAGACCTGCAGCAAAGACTATACATCACGTGTACTTATATTGCATGCATAGGTGGTATGAGTACCGAATTTTTCAGAGTATAAGCCACACTGGAGTACAGGTCGTCCCCCGTTAATACGAGTCCGGTTGGTACATAAACCCCGTTAGTACATAAGAAATCTCAAGTCCCGGACGAAACGTGGTCACTTCCATACAAATTTTGTTGGTTAGTACATAATTCGTTAGTACATAAACCCCGTTAGTACATAACATTTCTCCGTACCCGCATGCCACCTACCTCAATAGTACATAATTTGTTGGTCTTTTGGCCTTCCAGTGGAGGCACATCGTGTTCTAGTTTCTACTTGTGGACGCAATTAGCTCAGAAATCAGAGCGCACATCACAAACCGATAAAGCTCTTTTTTCCGAGTGACTGTACAGGCGCGGCTGGGCATGTATCATGTCACTAAACTGTAGAATCTTCGCTGACTGTGTCCGTTATAACATAATTTTTATGTTATATTGAGGGAATCAAGAATATCTTGCTCCCTAGTCATGGTAGCAAGAAACACTCAGAAAAGTTGAAAAAAGTGAAAAATTCTGGTACACAAGCAAGTTATGTACACTTTCGTTTAGTACATAAACCCCGTTAATACATAACATTTGTCAAGTCCCAGAGATTATGTATTAACGAGGGACGACCTGTATAAGCCACACTGGAGTATAAGTCACACTGGAGTATAAGCTGCACTGGAGTATAAGCCACACTGGAGTATAAGCCACGCTGGAGTATAAGCTGCACTGGAGTATAAGCCGCACTGGAGTATAAGCCACACTGGAGTATAAGTCACACTGGAGTATAAGCCACACTGGAGTATAAGTCACACTGGAGTATAAGCCACACTGGAGTATAAAAGCCACACTGGAGTATAAGTCACACTGGAGTATAAGTCACACTGGAGTATAAGCTGCACTGGAGTATAAGCTGCACTGGAGTATAAGCTGCACTGGAGTATAAGCTGCACTGGAGTATAAGCCACACTGGAGTATAAGCCACACTGGAGTATAAGTCACACTGGAGTATAAGTCACACTGGAGTATAAGCTGCACTGGAGTATAAGGCACACTGGAGTATACGTCACACTGGAGTATAAGCTGCACTGGAGTATAAGCCACACTGGAGTATAAGTCACACTGGAGTATAAGCCACACTGGAGTATAAGTCACACTGGAGTATAAGTCACACTGGAGTATAAGCTGCACTGGAGTATAAGCCACACTGGAGTATAAGCTGCACTGGAGTATAAGCCGCACTGGAGTATAAGCCGCACTGGAGTATAAGCCGCACTGGAGTATAAGCCGCACCCCCCCCACCTATTTTTTTGCCACGAAATACAGACATCTATCCTATTTATCACCGTTAATTTGATCGTCACAGTACAAGCCACACCCCCTTTTGGGGGTAAATTTTGAGTGTTCAAAGTGCGGCGTATACTCCGGAAAATACGGTAGCAAGTCGCTGACGATGAGTGAAGGTGACCGGCAGTGAATCATGATGACCAAGGATGACTGGCGATGATGCCCTGTGGTTTCATTCTACAGTGTGTACTGCAGTTACCTTGGTTACGCCGTTACACCAGCACATCAGTGGAGAGAACAGTGGCAGTGCCGTTAACCATTTCTGGACTACGGTTTGCTGACTCATCCTGTACACGTACTCATTAAAGGGGAAGTAACTACAGTTGTGGCAAGTGAAATCCGACACTTGGCATAAGGGACTGCACCGTGCATCCTGCAGCCTCTGCAGCCCTGCATACGTACAGTACATGTGCTGCATACAACTTTATCTGTCTGATGGCAGAATTCGTACTCGTAGATCTACTCATCACAGTCAAGGTTCAAAAGGTGCTGGCAAAAATGAATGGGAATTGGATACCAATACTCCTTATGTGTACCATGTTTGTGAACTGTGTGTATCTAAGCTGTGACCTTTCGACCTGTTTGGGATGCATACGGCTCTATAGTACAAATTAGGTGCAGTGCATTACATCATTGATGTCCATTTGAGCACGGCTGTTTTTTTGCGCGATTTTGGCCCATTTAATATGGCGGCCGAGAACGCGTAAAAATTCATGATTTTCGTCCAGGAATTGCTTTAGACAGCTAAGTATTCCACAGACTTCGCCACTTTTCGTCTCCAATCAGCTTGGTTTGCCCTGAGTTTTCGATTTTTCGGCTTTGCCTTTCCCTCAGCTCCGCGTACATGCCGCGCGACCACTGCTTCGATTTGTTTTCTTGTCTCTGGAGGACGTTTGTTTTCCTCCCCTGGGACGTTCGTCGTGCAGAATTTGAGCCAACGTTTGTGCCCCAAATAGTATCCCCAGATTTGAGTATCGTTTAGATAATTTGGAATCGGGTAGGTAAGTGTCCGTTCTGGTGCTGTAGAAAATTTCGTTCCGTGACGTGCATCAATTCCGTGTGACTTGCGTTTGCAATATTCCCAAACTTTTGGTATTTCCCACACTTACTGGATCGTAACTGCAATTGTGTTACTCTTCAGTCGTTGTGAGGACGTAGGGTGATCATGGATGAGCATAAATCGCTACAGCAAGAAGTCTGCCGAGTCGGTGGCAGAAAGTTTTCCTGTTTCCAGCAGTCTACCAGATATAGTGTGGAAAAATATAGTGATCTGCTGAAATATGTACATAGCAATGAAATCTCGAAAGATTGCTCAGACATCCACCCACCGTACATCTGTATTCTGTGCGAGCGAGCCCTAAAGAGAGCCAGTAGAAAGGCAGAACATTGTGGAGGTGGCTGTGGACCTGTCACCAAATGGGAGCCACACCATCGCACAAACTGCTCTGTGTGTGCAAGCCAGAAAAAAAGGGGCGCAAGCGCGCACCATGCAAAACCGAACACAGCATTGCGAGGTGCCGCACTCCTGGCAGCACCCAGCCACCAGAGCGATGATGGATCACCTCCACACTCAGCCACCAGCAGTGTAAGTGGTCTAGATAACAGTGCAGAATGCATACAATCAAGAGCAGCGCGACAACATCGTGCAACACTGCCGCTTGACAGGGACAGATTTTTAGACAGAAATGCGGTGCAAATTTGCATCATTTGTCAGAATACCGCAGACGGTATCCTGGAAACAGCATGCTGCAATGATCCGAGTTGTGCAGAGTGCATAAGCGAATGCCTCAGCACGAATAACACATGCAAGTCTTGCAGCGCTGACATGGCTGCATCATCGATGCGCACGCCCAGCATTAGTCTAACCAGGGTTGTCAGCAGCCAGTCCATACACTGCGACTTCCACGAGCCATCGCTACGTGGATGTCCTGAAGTCGTGCCGCTGCATGACTTGCAACGTCATGTCAACATGTGCCCGTTCAATCCTGCAGAGACGCCATCATGCAGCACAGCACGTAGCCCGCCGCCGAGCACGACACCTATCCGCTCTGTGCGCCCATCGTCAACAGTGGCTGAGGTTCTCAGTGCTTCTCCGTCGAAGTTGAAGGGCAATGTGGCAACTACCTCACTGCACGTCTGGTCACGGCTAGGGCAGAGGGTGGCAGGCTGGAGGTGAAAACTGGCGAAGGAGGCAGGGCGCCGAGCACGACACCTATCCGCTCTGTGCGCCCATCGTCAACAGTGGCTGAGGTTCTCAGTGCTTCTCCGTCGAAGTTGAAGGGCAATGTGGCAACCAACCTCACTGCACGTCTGGTCACGGCTAGGGCAGAGGGTGGCAGGTTGGAGGTGAAAACTGGCGAAGGAGGCAGGGGCAAACCGCAAGTTTACCAGCTAACACCAGAGTGCAGTGTACCGTCAACCGATGCGTCTGCATCAACACTCAAACGCCGCGCTGCTGAGCTGACCCGAATTGCAGAGTCCGTTTGTGGTGGATCGGATGGAGCTCGAGTGCAAATGATTGCTGGGCTGAAGTGGCTCTCATCAGCTGCACAGGAGGAGCTCAGGCAGACCTCCGACTGCCATGGAGCCAATTGAGGAAGCTGCGGCAGTGGCTCAAGGTCTTCGGAGTAAAGTTGGAGTCTGAGCGTTCTATACGAGAGTTCATCACGAAGACGCTGCCCAGCTACACCGCTACAGAGCTGCCGATGTCGAAGCGGAATGGCGATGTCTCCATGGCTGCCACTGTATTTTTTCCAGACCTTGTCGCTGTTGTCATGCACTTCCTCGACATCCTCAATGAGAGTGACAGGCACGATTGCCTGAAAGCTTGACATGGCATTCAGGCACGGCAGCAGTTACGAAGACCCAGCAACACACTTCGACTGTCGACGCCTTGAAGGACGAAATCGCCAAGCTATGCCGCAGTAAGGACTTCAGTGGCCCATGCGTAGCCTCTGTGGAGCCTGTTCTCCAACACCACAAGATCGAACGTCAAGTGTACCACGGTGGTGCTTTCATCGGCAATCACGTCCACCAAGCCTTGAAGCCCACCGTGGCCACTGCCATCAGCCATGCTCACGTACCAGTCCTCACGTCCAGGTGTCCAGTCCTGGCGGAGGAGGCCCAAACAATAGCATCTTTACACGAGAATCTGATGAACAGCTACGCTTCTTGTCGAGCTATCTTCAGTCACAGCCAGGCAGTTTCAGCAGACGAGATGGATCAGCTGGAGTCTGAAGTTCGGCGTTTCTTGAGTATGTGCAGACGACACGTTGTGGCACGGCGACTTGGAAACATCACGCCGAAACTTCACCTGTTAGAGAATCATACGGTGCCGCTCATCAGGAAACTTGGCGTTGGTCTGGGCCTGCTCGCGGAGCAAGGGGCAGAGAGCTTGCACGCCAGTCTCAACACCCTCAACGCCATCTAGAAAAACATACCAGGAGACCTCGCCAGGCTGAAAGTTGTCGCCGAGCAGCATCTGCTAACAACCACCAAAGAAGCCAGTACGCTGGCTCCTCGTCCACAGAAGAGGAAAGCCGAGGACCAAGGTTCAGTCTCCTCGTAAACAGGTAAAAAGACAGCGTGGTGACAGCAATGTCTGTCTTCGTGTTTGTATTTCCAACGCTCCAAAGAAAAACATTTGAAGCACGAGCACTAGATCATGCTCCTCTTTCAAATTTTCAAACGATCTTCAACTGTTTGCGTTTTTTGTGTCGAATCATACTGAAAACCAACTTGGTTTTGTTACTATTCACAATAATTTACCGATTCGCATCGAGTTTCCAAAACTTCTCTAAAACCCGGTGGAACGACGCCATATTGTAATCTGGTCAGCCGCGGACAGCCGTGTGAGGCGCTGTCCCCTATGGCAAGTGTCGGATTTCACTTGCCACAACTGTAGTTCACCCTGAACTGAAAACTTCACAACCTGTAGCGAAATATGCACTGATTCCAATGGTTAAGGTCCCAGGTTGATCGGAGCAGCCGTTCCAGAGTTATACGATAACACCAGCTTGAAGTTTGCACTAAATTTGGTGACATCATGATGACGTCGTTAACTTGCCCAGACTAGGCCGGATTTATGACATCAGAGAGATAGACTTTTTATGGGAGTAGATGGGGAAATTTCAGTATTTCAGCTCTCCGTTGTTCCAAAGAAGTCGGATCTTTTCAACTTCGGTATGGGACATATGGCACCCTACCGGTATCCGGGTTGGAAAATATTCTAGTATGAAATTCATTGTTGCAGAGAAACTAGAAAGAAATTGGTTTTCCATAGTTTTGATGTAGAATTAGACCGAGCGTGTGCCTGTGATGGGTAACAAGGCAGGGTAGCAGCAGGGTATGCATATACAATAACAGTTAGACGACATGCCGTGAGTGGTGAACGAACTAGCGGCTAGCTTACTCTGATCGCTCGTTGTGCTTGACCGACGGCTGGATAAGCTTCTCGCTGAGTTTCAGCTGGTCGGTCAGCATGTCGCTGATGTTTGTGAAGCAAGCCATCTTTGACTGGCATGTTTGAATAGTCTGGGAACAGTACAGTCACACAGCAGCAGCAGCAGCAGCAACAATGCACCGTCACATCACCTTCACGCTTGTGATCTAAGAACTACATGCCTCAGCTTTCAAGTATAGACAGGAGAGCCATGCGCAACCAATACACCATGCCTGGAGCATCAACACATTTGGCTTCTGGACCCGCAAGAGTACTATACTGGTGCACATTGGCAAGTACTAGGATCTCCTGCAGGCTGCAGGGGTTTGCACCAGGTACTCACACGATGCCATATCATAGCTAACACCTTATAGCTTAGGCTGACTACATACACTACAGTCTACTACGTGCCTAGCAGTGATGTCATTAATTACATCACTGCAACAGTCAACACCGTCACAATAAATATGATTACATCACTGCTAAGCTGCTAGGTAATTAGTACTGTCCAAGCTTCACTATCGTACAGTGTCTTGGCTGAGGAGATTTGCACACGTTTGCTCCACCGTCCGTTATCAGTTTACCATCATCATCATCATCATCATCAGTGGACTGACTACACAGCTGTTGTAAATACTACTACTATCATACCGTTAGTGATATATTGTAGGATTCGTTGAAGGCGTTGTACTCCGTATTCTGGTGATCATACTTTGTATTGGCCTGGTGCAGCTGGATGAGAAGATTCTGAATGTTGGCCTCATTGTCTTCACCCTGTCACGTCCACAAGCAACAGCAACACCCACACATGCACGTACACGCGCACACACGAACAAACAAAAACACACGCACGCACACACGCACACACACACACACACACACACACACACAAGAACTTCAATGTACACATGCACACCCGTATGTACATCTACATTAGATAGTGTACAGTGTACACTACTTACTGCAGTCTGATACAGGCAGTTACCCGGCTATGCCTGATACAGGCAGTTGCCCGGCTATACCTGATACAGGCAGTTACCCGGGTATGATGTATCGCCCCTTCCATGTGCAGCCACACCACTCATAGGCATGCCATCTGGAAGGGGACGCATGTCTATTGCTCACAAATACATGTACAAGGTTCTCGTCCTCTTAACGTGCACTGATGTGACAGAGTGTACTCGGTGATGTAAGAGATATGACACATCCTCGGGCCTGGTCTCCATCAACATTGATTCGTCCAACACATTGCTCACCTTCTCTGCGAATCTCTTCACGGCGTACATGAGCTTCACGTCAAGACGTGGGTTGTAGTGCGCCAGCGAGTGGTACGAATAGAACTGCACCAGCTCAGGCACTGTGTTGAAAGTGAGCGGCTCGGAGAAGCCATACTTGCCACCGCGATGCATGATGCGCACCAGCTTGTTCACACCGCTCTTCCTGCCGCAGTGCATACAGATGCACGTACGTACGTATACACACACACACACACACACACGCACACACACACACACACACACACACACGCACACACACACACACACACACACACACACGCACAGAGCCCGTTGTGCTTGTGTTGCAGCAAGATAGAACACACGCACACAAGCACACATACTGGTAAGGTGCTAAACAGAAGCATGCATGGCCTTCAAGATAAAAAAAAACTCTCATACCTCAATGTGAGTGTGTATTCGCCTTGAACTCTTGATGCATCGCGGACTAAGAACGACCCGTCAGGTGTATCGCGCAGTTTCTCTGTCACTTCCTCCCTGTTTCAGGTAAGAACACAGAGCACACTCAGCATCAGCAACATCATGAGCCAAACTCACTGTGCAATCCTGTGCAGCGGGCTACTAGTAACTTGAATTGCATGCATGCTAGTCCACTGTACCCCCCCCCCCCCACACACACACACTCCCTCCCTGGTCATCCATCACTAAATTCAAGTAATGCTTTGCCAGTAAACCTACTATGGTGGTAAGCTGTTGTTACTTGTGTTCAACAGGCAACCAAAGTAGATATATGCATACACAGTTACACACATGAACACACACACACTGGTGAAGCTGCCCTAGGCACAGTCCTACCTGCTGATCTTTCCCCAGTACCACTCGGCGTCGGCTAGAGTGGTCACCTGCTGCTCTGGACCATCGGCAGAGTCTACGCATTGCAGGGCACGCACACACAAGTACTTTATATCCGATGCCAGGAGATTAGCACACTGTGTTCTATCCAGGGTAGTTGATACTGTAGTTTAGTACACTGTCTGTTCTATCCAGGGTAGTTGATACTGTAGTTTAGTACACTGTCTGTTCTATCCAGGGTAGTTGATACTGTAGTTTAGTACACTGTCTGTTCTATCCAGGGTAGTTGATACTGTAGTTTAGTACACTGTCTGTTCTATCCAGGGTAGTTGATACTGTAGTTTAGTACACTGTATGTTCTATCCAGGGTAGTTGATACTGTAGTTTAGTACACTGTCTGTTCTATCCAGGGTAGTTGATGCTGTAGTTTAGTACACTGTCTGTTCTATCCAGGGTAGTTGATACTGTAGTTTAGTACACTGTCTGTTCTATCCAGGGTAGTTGATACTGTAGTTTACGGTACACTGTCTGTTCTATCCAGGGTAGTTGATACTGTAGTTTAGTACACTGTCTGTTCTATCCAGGGTAGTTGATACTGTAGTTTCATTGTATGGCAGGGAAACACATGCACTGGATGTAATACAGTCACAGCATGGCCCGGTTACAGGCCTGGATTCATGGCGAGACACGTAACACAATGTGAATGACATCAAGACAGTATGTGTAGTGCCCGGCCCGGGTAGGGACCAAGTCACCCGTCAAGTATGCCCACACGTCATAACGGAAAGCGAGTACCCACTTTGTCGCTTACCATCTTCCAGTGTCCAGTCGCACGACGCAATCATCGTCTCTATGAGCGACACTTGATTCTTGACATTCTGCGCCAATATCCTG